CACCCCTGATGACTGGTGCCCTTCCTTCGGCTAGTACAGTCCCTGGCTCTCCCTCCTGGGCCATCTGCTCTGCCTGTTCATCATGTTCATCTTCATTTGGTGGACAGCACTCATTGCTGTGTTGTTTCTCCTTCTGCTTCTGCTATATCCATTCTACAAGAAACCTGGTGAGTGAGTGAGCAGGTGGGTAAGGGATTGAGAGACAGCAAGAGGCTCACCTCCATAACAAGCCCTGAACTACCAACAGTAAACCTCCATCTCCTTTCCTACCTGACAAGTCACACTGCACCACCCCCTTCCTCTGAACAGATGTGAACTGAGCTCCTCAGTCCCTCTGGACACCTACCACAAGGCACCGTCCCACACAGTGAGCCTGACCAATGTGTAGGAACACGTCAAGAGCTTCTTCACAGCTAAGAACCTAAAGGAGCAAGTGTCTGACAAGCTGTAACTTCACTGAATATTCTGGCAAGCAAAGGGGGAAGAGGACTGCAGTGGGGAATACTGGCTGTGGGGAAACAGTAGCTGTAGTCTCTACCTATATCTGAATGGGTTTATGGTTTCCAGTTTGGAAGCAATACAAAGAATTTAGGCAGCAAAACAGAAAAATTGAAGAGTAAAGAAGCCCTATTATTCCTAAATCCACAAGGACAGAAATTTCAGGGATGACAGATACTCTTTGCTCCTTGCTAAACCTGAGGTTTCCTTTCTCTGCAGCCAAAGCCTTTTGAAGACTTGATGGCTTTATACTGGTTGCAGAAGCCACCACTAAAGGGGGACCTGGAATCTACCTCGCAACACTCTTGCTCCTTCAGGCTACATCTCTGAGCAAGACCTGCAGGTAAACCAAGAGCAGGTATATAGGAACAGCCAGCAAGTGGGGCACTTGTCCCAGGGTAGGAACTGACATTGGTGCTCACCTTGTCCTCTGCTTGTTCTTCCTAACCATGTAGTCAGAATGGCATATGTGTTCTCATTAAGTCCTAGGACAATATTCTCAGGATACTGTCCTCATCGTCATGTGAGTCTGGGAAAATTCCAAACTGCAGGGCATACATAGATGCCAGGGGTAGGGTTAGTCCAATGGCTAGATGAGCTGAGGAAAGCCTACCTGTGACCCCTCAGTCAGCCTGCCCTGGAGCCCTATACATGACTGGCTGGAGATGCTGTCCAGAGCAAAACATCCCCCACTGCCCTCATGCGTGGAAATCAGCAGGACACGCTGACCCTGTAAGAGACTCAGGAGACTGAACTAGGAGGAGTCCACAATTCAGAACTCACAGAGCCATGATTTTAGTCTCGGCTCTACAAACTTTGAGGCTATCCTTGGGAAGCCTCAGGCAAGAGCCCAAAGCTTGCTAAGGAAAGAACTCCCCTACTAAGCAACACCAATTGAGGCTAGTGTCAAAGAAGGTCCTCCCTTCAAGATCCATTCCACCCCATAATATTAATACAAATGTACAAATAAATACCCGAGGCTAATGTGTAATAACAGACTTGATTCCCATTTATAAAATTAATTGCCCAAGCCTAGAGAGGCAAGGATCATTCCTGTCCTTAAACATATCCAAGAAGAGGAATTTATCTTTCTACTTCCATCCCACTCTATCTTCGATCCTGAAGTTTCTCATTTTAAATTTCCATGTCTTAGTGCATTTTCAACCCATTTATGTGTCTACCCTTTGTAAATGAAAAGATGTTTTCACCACTTTCTACTTAGTAAGTAATCAGAAAATTACTTTTCCCAAACTCATATAATCCTAATTCTGTTCATCTTTTGGCCCAACTCTTACTGTATAGTCCTTTGATTATTTCTTTGGCTTACTTCTCCGTCAACTTACTCATTCACTCAGCAAATACTGACTGTCTGCTATGTGCCAGACCCGAGTCTAAGTACTGGGAAATGATGGTAATGAATAAAACAAGATAAAAATTTCCTCCTCTATTAGAGTTTATATTCTTTTTTAAATTTCTTTTTCAATTACAGTTGACATACATTAGTTTCAGGTGTACAACATAATGATTAGACATTTACCTTATGATCACCTGAAACTTTATATTCTAAGGAAGAGACAAACAATGATAATAAATAAAACTATTAGATTAGAAGGTGGTAAGTGCTATGAAGAGAAATAAAACAGGGAAGGAGCTAGAAAGTGCTGGAGGCATGCAACTCTAAGTAGGGTTGTCAGGAAGGCCTCACTAAAACAAGAGAAAAAAAGTTGATCAAAGACTTAAAAGACTATGATGGAGTGAGCTACACCTAGATGCTTTCCAGGCGGAGGGAGCAACAAGTATAAAGACCCTAAGGGGTCAGCACACCTTCAGTGTTTAAGGCCAATGTTACTGGAGCAGAGTGAACAAGGAGCTGAGTAGCAGGGAATAAGGTCAAAGCAGTAAGTGGAGCAGGGTAAGAGCTCATGGAGGGTCTCACAGGCCTTTAAAGGACTCTGGTTTTTATTCAAACAGGAAAACATGGAGGGTTTCGAGCAGAAGAGTGCCTTAATATGGCTTCCATGTTAACACTACTCACTCTACTCTGGCTGCTGTGTTGAGAATTGACTGTAAGTGGGCAATGGTAAAAGCAGATAGGCCGGTTACTGAAATGATACTGTAGCTAGATAATTCTGGCTTGGTCTAGGATGGCGCAGGGGAAATGAGGAGAAATGGGATTCTGGATATATTCTCAAGGTAGTCAACATGATTTGATAAATTGGAAGAAATGAGTGTCAAAAATAATACCAAGGTGATACGACATGAGCATCAAGAACAGAGTTGTCATTAACTGAAATAGGAAAGACTACAAGCAAGTTCAGGAGAAAATAAGTTCAAATTTATTATGGTAAATTTGAGATGCCCGTCAAGTCCAGATGCCAATGGACAGCTAGATATTCAGGACAGAAGTCCAGGTTGGAGCTAAACAATTGGGAGTCATCCATATTAAAATGGTTTTCATGTATAACACTGGATGGAATCACTACATGTATGTGTGTAAATACAGAAGCAGTCCACGGACTGAATTCTAGAGAGTTAATAGGTTGTAAAGAGGAGGTGAAACCAGCAAAGAGACTAAGAAAGAGCAGTCAGTAAGCTAAGGGGCAAACCAGCAAGTATGTCCTAAAGCCAAGTAAGGGAAATGTTTTAAAAGAGGAAGTGTCAAATGCTGCTGACAGCTTATGTAGGAAGCAGCAGAATATGCCATTAGATTTGGGTTTGTGCAAGTCATTGGTGACTGTGATAAGAACAGTATTGGTGGAGCGGACTAAATAGGGAATTGGTGGAGAGGACTTGGAGACAACTCTTTTACAATGTTTTGCTGTAAAATGGGACAGAAAACTGGGAAGCAATTGGAAGTGGAAATGGGGTCACGGGGTTCAAGTATTTGTAAGATGAGAAAAATTATAGCATATTTGTGTGCTGATAGGAAAATCCAGGAAAGGTAAATACTGACTCTACAGAAAAAAAGGGAAAATTGTTGAGAGATGTTTTTACAAGCTCAAAGATGGGATCTACTGCACAAGTATTTGGACAGAAGCATGGAGTTTGTTTATAGCAGGGTTTCTCAACCTTGACACCAATGACATTTTAGCCCATTCTGTTGGGGGGGGGGCTGTTCTGTGCATTGTAGTCTATTTTGTAGCATCCTTGGCCACTAGCCAGTAGCACTGCTGCCCAGTTATGACAACCAAATGTCCTCTGGGGAACAATAATCAGTCCCAGTTGAGAACCACTGGTATATATTAACAGGAGGGAAGGCCGAGTATATGGGTATAAATGCTGGAAGATGGTTAGATGTAGTGGTAAGAGCTTATGAATATTTTCTGATTGTTTCTATTTTCTTACTGAAATAGGAACCAAAGTAACAGTGAGAATGAGGGGAGATGTTGGAGATTTGAGGGGTCAGAAGGAACCAGTTATCAAAAAGAGGGCAAGTGAAAGGACTAGGGAATATTGCTAGGTAACATAAAGGATCCAATTAAGTTTCATGGTAATAAGCTTCAAGTAAGACAAGTAATGAGGTATCGAGTAGTTGTAGGTCTAGACTATAACCAAGGAAATTGTGGCTGAAGTGCAGGTAGAGGAGCGAAGAACTGAGACCAGAGTATCAGAAAGTTAATCTACACGGATAATGAAATCAAGTTTGTGACAGAAGAGGTATTGGTGTGGAATAGTCTAATGACATTGCTTCAAAGTTGAAGTGTGTTAGGGATGACAGAGAAAAGTCTAAAAATGCTATAAGAAAAGATGAGGAAACCTGCACCACCTCTAGGCGCAGCGGTACCATGGGTGTGAGAGGAAACACTGTCACTTAAGGTGACAGCAGAAGCAGAGTCCTCAGGAGAATCCTGAGCAGGAATCCAGAGCAGGAATGCACAGGGAAGACTCAGGGAAGAGGTTGAAGATATCTACAAGTTCAGAAGAGCACAAGAGAGTTCCAGGAGTTGGAAGAGGTAGGTAGATGGGGGATACAAAGAGGTAGAGTGATGATTATTAGAGTGTAAAAGACAGAGGTGACTTGGTTGTTTGGGAATTCTTGAGGTGATTGACATAAACAAGATAAAGGGCATGATGAGATTAATTCTGGTGGGTGTGGTCAACCCCCCCCCCCCCAACAGAAGTGCATATAGGAGTTAAGTGTGTATGGAGGAAGGAGTTTTATTCTTGAGTTATAAATAGTATGAAATCAGACCTGGCTCCAAACTATTTTGAGGGAAGTCCTGACTATCTACTTTAAAGAATTTAAATGAGATGCTGAATGTAAAAGCAGTTAGCACAAGGCCTGATACTAAAATTAGTTATGATACCACTGTTAAGGGGATAGAATACCTAAGATATCCCCTCAATCTTAACTCCAGAGCAGCAACCCAAAGGTTACCTCCACAGAAAGCCAGGTGGTTGCTCTGACCACTGCCTCATTATCCATTCACCACACCCACAACAATTTATTCAGTGCCATTTCTATACTGTTACCGTACAACAAACACAAGCTCATCACCAACTTACAAAACCAAAAATATTTTATTGCTGAGTTATCTTGAGGTTCAAATGACAGGAGGGGAGACCGTAGCCTTGCCAGGACTCCCATGTTAGAATAAAGACTGTGGGCTCCACTTAGGGCACTATCTACTCTGATCCTGTTAACTTTGTCAGTCCCTCCAGGTCACTTCTACTTCATCTGTCCGATACCTGCGAAAAAATAGGAAAAACTTGGTGGATGGCTATCCCTTATCATCTTCCATTGTTCTCTGCCCTCATGATTCCGGACCCTCTTTCCTGCTAATTTTTGCCTGCCTCCCATATAATCCTACCCACCCACTCCAAAGGGGTACTCACCTCTGTGTGACCCCAGAATCACTGAGGGGGGTCCTGTGTCCAGCCCGAAACATCTCCCAGCCAGCCTGGGCTATCATGGCTCCATTGTCAATGCAGAATCTGGGAAAAAAGAGATACAAAATTTGGGATCTAAGGGTAGAAAATCACAGTAATTGGAGAAATTAAAAAAAAAAAAGAAATCAAGACAAGGAAAGGGCCTTTACCTCTCATCTGTGGCAAAAAGCCTGGCTCCACGTTCCTGGCACATTGTCTCCATCATTTCCTGCAGCCTCATATTACCTACAACGAGGTAGGGGGTAGGATTAGCTTAATTTCACCCATTTCTCCACAGTCTAGCTGTACACTTCATGTGCATTTACTTAGGAAAATGAAGCAGGTGTCCTAGGGCCAAGGATTGGGAAGCATAGGACAAGAAGTGAAACTAGTAGTTTCCTCAAGCCTTTAGAGATTTAGACCATTAGGAGAAAGACGCACATGCCCAAGAATAGGAAAGAGCAGAGTATAATGATACATACACCCCACACCTCCCACGACGAGGGCCTCCTGGGAGCCACAATGTGCCATGGCCCGCTCCGTGATCTCTACCAGCATTGCGAACACAGTTTCCTGTAGGGGATAGACCAGGTGAAAACATCAGAGGAGACCCCAAATTAGCGCGCGCGCGCACACACACACACACACACCCCTATATAAAAGCTCCTCTAGCCCCAACTTTCTGTTCCAGCTTTTGGGACAGGGAGCTTTTACCTGCAGGGAGAAACATAGATCCTCAGGGGTACACTCGCCTGTGACCAGCATCCTCTGGGCTACATCCTACAATTAAAGGGGAAAACAAACAGATTCAACAATGAACAACGGTTTGGGGATGCCATGAGAGCAAGAATGAATACAGATTCAACTGACATCCCATATCATACTTCGCCCGTCACTGGCACTGAGCTACAGAACAAGCAGCATTCACTCAAAATTCAGTAATTATGAATGGCTGCCCAGGCGGGCCCCACCCCTTACCCTGCTGAAGTTTTCTCCACAGCACTTACCCCCATCTAACCCTTTATATTTTATTATTTTCCCCTCTTTCTTCTTCTTCTTTTTTTTTGTTTCTTTATCTGTCTCCCCGTTAGAATGAGAATTCCAAGTAGGACAGGATTTTTGATTTGCTCCATGCTATATCACTATTGTCTAGGGCAGTGACTAGCACACAGAAGATATTCAATAAATATTTGCTAAATGGGTATATTCAGCACCTAATATGGGCCAGTACAGTGCTATATGCAGGAAATACAATGGTGAGCAAACAGACATGCTTCATTAAAAAGTATGCCAAGTGCCTATCTCCTCACCTCTCCCACACTCACCTCAATGAAAGACAGGATCCCCGAGAATGAGACGTCCATCCCCTTTACAGTGTATGGCAGCTCAACTAGCTTCTTGCCTCTATGTGGGAGTGAGTAGATGAGGCATTAAGCCTGTAGTCAGCCGGCTGCTCACCCTCCATGCCCCTCCCAAACTGAATTAACATACATAGAGAAATCCCTGCAGTCCCACCAGTCAGCCTCCTTCCACCTTATGTTCCCTTACCGCTTTGCCATCTGTTCAATGTTGTAGCCCGGACTTGGATCATTGGAAATCTAGCAGATAGAAAAAGAGGATGAAGTCAGGTATTCAAGAAGCATTAAGAAGCTAATTTACTACTTTCTCCCTCCATTTCCATGGCTCCCCAAAAATTTAGCCACATCTTATGTTCTCTGCAACCCAATGGCTTACCTTCAGCACTCGAGCAAAACGATCCAGACAATTACCCACAGCAATATCGATGGTTTCCCCAAAGATGCGGTAACGATGTTCTGAATATGCAATCACCTAAGGGTGATGAGGATGTCCATGAAACCTCAAGTCTGCAAAGAGGAGTATTTGGCTTTGGGGAAGAATATACCAGAGGATCAACATGGCCACTAGACCATCCAAGAAATGTAAAAAAAAAGTACTTTGCCAAACCCTGAGCAGGATTTTTTATAGCTCTTATCTTAGAAGTTCACATATACCTTCAGGATTCCCAGAGCAGATTCCTAATCTAAAGAAGATAGTCTACATCAGGGCAGAAGCAAGCTGCATTTCAAATACTTTTTTTTTTTTTAAGATTTTACTGGGGCATTGGGGGAGGGGAACAGCACTGGGGAATCGGGGAAGGGGAACAGACAAGTTGCTGTCCTTTTGTTCTTCAGTCTGGTTGTGGAGGACGCCGCTTCACTGGCCCATGTTGGTATTATGATCATTGCACTCTTCCAGGGTGAGGCAGTAGCTCACTGGCCATTGGATGGCCGCTCACGGCGGCTCACAGCAGTTCATGCTGGCTGCCGGCCGCTCACAGTAGCTCACCAGCAGCCCACTGCAGCCTACACCGCCATCGGCGACTCATGGCAGCCCAGCTCCAGGTTGAGCTGTTGTTCATCATCTTAGCTGTGGAGAGCGCAGCATCACTGGCCCTCATGTGGGATCTGAACCGGGGCCCTGCTGCTCAGAGCTGGCACTCCCAAGCCAACTCTTAACCAACGTGCCACTTGGCCGGCCCTCAAATACAGTTTTTAGCTTGGAGGTTCCTTATATATCCCTTAAAGGCAGAACTGACAGTGTAGACTAGGGAACAGGCTTTCTTGCTTGGAGGCAGGGAACCAGAGTCCCTTTAGAGTATCTCACCAGGGTAGTAGTATTTGTAAACAAGAGAAGAGGTAGAGTTGAAAACTCAAAAACCCCATATTGGGTCAGACTAATGGCCCACCCAACTCAGCACTGGCTATCAACTTGAACTTCTAGCACAGAGACTATTTACCACCCACTGACACACATCCTCCATATTTCTGACAGTGAATGCTTCCTAAGGACCCTAAGAAATAAGAAGTCCCTTTCCCTTCCTGGTGCTGCTAGCGATTTCTTTCCATTCTGATGTAGGTCTTACTCTCTTGTCAAAAGGCTGGTGACAAAAGGGGAAGGAGAAACTCCTGCCTTTCTTCTTCTATCATCTACTCCTCTCCACCCAAATCATCTTCCCTATTTTTTACACCAAAGCAGGCTTCAAAAGGGAAGAGAAAAAGAGAAGACTCGATTGCAGCTCCTCTTAACTCTTTTAAGCCTCCATCGCTACTTTCCACACCCCGAGTCCCTCACCTTGTACATCATCCTGCAGGCCTCAACCAGCTACTTGCCCTCTACCTGTTAAGAGTTCCCACATCGTTTTCATGGGAATGTATGCTTCATCTTTAATAACTAGTTCACACAATGAAGTTGTGTAAAAGCCTTTCATAGGCTGGGGACAATGACTATTTCTGACAATAACTCTATCAGGTGTTCTGTGGAAAAGGAAGGCTGACCTAAAAAAGGTCTTATAAGATATCCCAAACAACTCTGGCTGCACCTATAAACTTAAAACACCTTCTACTGGGCTGGCAGAGTGGCGTGTTGCTTAAGTGCTGGTTTCGGACACCAGAGGGCCCCGATTCGGATCCCACATATGAGGGCCAGTGACACTGCCCTCNACAGCTAAGATGCTGAACAACAGCTCAACCTGGAGCTGGGCTGCCGTGAGTCGCTGGCGACGGCGTAGGCTGCAGCCCCTGTGGCATGGGTTGCCATGGGCTACCGTATGTAGCCAGCAGCCAGCGTGAGTGGCCAGCAGCCGCAGTGAGCGGCTGTCCAGAACCCGGCGACTGATCTGCCTCACCCAGGAAGAGCGCAATGATGGTGCCAACTTGGGCCAGTGAAGCAACGTCCTCCACATCTAGACTGAAGAACAAAAGGACAGCAACTTGTCTGTTCCCCTTCCCCCAATTCCTCAGCGCTGTTCCTATCCCCCAATTCCCCAATAAAATCTTAAAAAAAAAAAAACCTTCTACCATTTATAAAGTGTTTCAAAAATTATTTATACTCTCACACTCTTAGAATAACAACTTCTATGTATTTATCACCAATAATGTAAAACAAAACATGTAATTACTGTAAAGAAACAAATTGGGTAGTGCCGCTTAGCTATAATTCCTAACTTTCATAGAAAAAAAAAAAGCTTCAAAATAATTAAAGTGAAAATGCTTTCATTGTTGTGAAGGCTTCAATCCTTACCATTCTTTCCTTTACTAAAGTGGAAATTCTTCATCTTTATAACCACATATACAAAAGTCACTTAATGTTCTGATCATCCTGCCCAAATCTGCAGAGTTACAAACTTTGTTGTGGATTTTCTAGTGTATCACATTTTAGGTTCAGACAAGCTCAGCTTTGTTCTCCCAGTTCCTGCCACTCAGGTAGAACACAAAAGTGGCCAGTACAGTGCCTTAGAAATTAAGAAGGAATGGTGGCGTACTCTCAATACCTGTGTATTTCCTCCGCTGACATAAAGCACAGTTGGGTTGGTGGCTCCAGTGATGAGGCGGCCCATCTCAATGTGGCCTATACAGTGGTTCACACCCACCAATGGCTTATTCCACAATTGGGCCACAGTACGGGCCACAACAGCCACAGAAACCAGTGGGGCACCCATGCCAGGCCCTAGGGAGATAGAAATGGGAGTTAGAATCCTTCAGAGGTTGGAAAAAAACAAGAGCTGGGGGAAGGAGGGGATATGAGAGGTGGAGTCGGGGTAGTGGGGGTAGCAAAGGCAAGGTGTAGGCTATTTTGACATATAGCCAAGCTCCAAGGATATTCTTCTACTGTCAACCACTCACCCAGCCATACCTTTGGTGTAGGCAATGCAGTCAATATCCTGGGGCGTTAATCCAGCCTCTGTTAGTGCCTCCTGCAACAGGTCTAGGATAACAGCTCGGTGGTGCCTGGCAGTATCACCTGGAAGAAATCCTAGGAGATGAACAAAGGTCAGAGATCATATAGTTTTTCTGTAGCATAGGTAGACAGAAATTAAAAACGGGCTTTTAGTAGTGTAGGAAGAGTCCCTTTCATTCTCTTCAAGAAACCTGTCTTCCAGGTGCTTAAGATATATTATTTCCAGCCTGTTCAGCTAGGCTGAACAGCCCCTCAGAAATGCCCTTATTCATACCCAAATTCTACTCAGCGTTCAGAACTCATTTCAGAAGTAATACCTATGACATACCCTGTGATCTTCTCTGTTATCCTACAAACTCTGTGCACGATCACAGCATTGTATTTAACTATGTCTGGTATTTTCGTCGTAAGCCTGTTTGCTGTAACATCTTTGCTGCAAGCATTTCCTCTGCAAACATTTTCATGGCACAACTAAATTGGCCTTAAGGCAATTTCACAGAAGATAAAATAACAGAAAATAAAAGAGGGACATTGAAACATGAAAAATTAGTAACAAAATTTACAAAAACTTTATTGTAAAAAATGAAAATACATGTTCTTCAAAGTCTTTTGTTCATAGTATCATACTTTTTTTTTTCTTTTGCTTGCTGATTTGTCTCCCTGTTCAGCATCGCCTTTTTTTTTTCCCTATCATTTCTTCCTTTGGTAAGAGAGGTATTAGTTTCATCTAAAAAAATCAATAATGAATGCTTCCGAAGATTGTTGTGAATTAGTAGCCTCTTTTATATTTGCCATAGCTAGGTAAACTTTAAGTTTTGACAGGTGGGAGGGAAGACTGTGCTCACCGAAGGATTTGGAAACTGATGTTATTATTTTCCAGTATAGTATGTAATCTAGCTTTATACATAGTTGTTATCATCCACTATTTTAAGACCACCACGGCTACTTCGCACTGTAGAGACCATTATAAGAGCTACAGTTTACATAACATAAAAATGGGAGTAACTGCAAGAACTTCCTCAATGGAAAAATGAAACCAAACTGTCAACTAGCTTGTTACATGCATTAAGTCTGCCAAATGTAAACCAAACTGTCAACCAGTTGTTTTATCTATTACGGTAAAATTGCCTTGTGGTCAATTAGTTATGCGGTGAAAATGTGGCAAAAATACCTAGAACTGTTTTTAACGTAACAATTATAGAATTATAATTATCTGTAGTTTCCCCAGTTTAACCATGAACATCTCAAAACACTGGCTGTTTTATTCACCTTTGTATTCCTAGTGCCAAAATGCTAAACATACATATCTTTCTAATGAGTAACTTGTCACATCACCTGTTCAAGGTGGCTTTTCAGGTATATGCACATCAGTTGCCCTCTCCTATATAAACAGGTGTTTTGGGGAGGGTAGGCAAGATATAACATAACTTACAAATAACATCTGTTAAAAGTTGTAATGTGTCTGGTACTTTTACTTAATTCTCAAGACCCAATGCAAAATGCAGGTATTTATTCCCATTTTAAGAGTAAAGAAGTCCAAAAACAAATACTGAATATGAGTATTCCAAAGCCAACCAGTTCTGTCTGACACCTAACCTGGGAGTCTACATTTCTTTTCATTTTAGAATATTTTTATTGTATCTATGTTATATTATTTATCATACTGTAATGTAAAGTTGTTTACATGTCCAACTCCACAGCAGGCCCATAACATCTGTTTTTGTATCCTGCAGTAAGCTGTCGATTGGCACATAAAAGGTGTTCAATAAAAGCTAAACAAACCCTGAAGATCCAAGTCCAAGTGCCTGTGACTCGTCTATCCATCAGCCAGCCTTGCGATTTTAATACTGTCACATAATCTCGGAGACTCAGATCAAAAGCTCTAATGAGGGGGCAGTGCGCTCCTACTCCACTAGTGTTTAGAAAATGGAAGGTGGTGCTGTGTGGGAAAATGAGCTGCAAACTATAAGTTCGCTACTCACCTGTGCCGGGAGGCGTGACGTAAGTCCGCCGCGGGTTCGCCAACACCGTGCCATCCCGCACCACTCCCACGCCAATCTTGTTGGCGCTGCCTTCAAAACCTAGCACCGCCGGCATGGCCGAGCCTGGGAGTAAACGCCGGCAGGGTTCCTAGCTACCACTGCAGCGGTGGAACCCTCACCAGCCCTTGCCGAGCCGCAGATTCCCGCGCGCAGAGGAAGAAGCCCCCGCAACTGGTAGGTGCAGGCGCGCAACCAGACACACACTGAGGAACGCCGGCGGGTGGCGCGCGCGCGCCGGCCCCGCCCCCGTCGTCACGGCGACCGGTCAAGGCCCTTCAAGGACCTGTCCTCCTAACTGCCAGGGACGCTGAGCCGGCATCTGCTCCTTACATTCCCATCCGTTCCTCTGCTTCTCTCCGGTGGCCCAGCGTAACCTTCCCCACTGATTTTCTTCCGTCCTGCACTGCCTTGGAATCTTAGGTCAGGGTGGCAGAAGGAGTCGTTCATCTGGCACACTAATAAACAGTCCGAGAATGGAGGGTTGGGGCCTTTAGTCCTCTAGCTACACTGGAGAAGGGAGGGAAGGCGGAGATTCTCGGTCACGTGATGCCAGACAGACTAATCGCCCGCGTTTGTCTGCCACGTGGTGTCTCAGACGACGTGACCACGCCAGTTACCCACGTGGGGGCTCAGCGTGCTCCATTCTTTGTGCTCAGGTAAGGAGGAGCCAGGCTGGGACTCAAGTAGGTCAGATAAGTTGCTGTTCTTTTTTGCGCATCAGAAGGGCTTCTCTGGACGTCTGATCGGATAGCCTAAGCCGGGACCCTTAATTAAGGCCCTGATTGGCCTGAGGACAGATCTCGTGAGGGTACAAGGCACTGAAATGCTCTAGTGTTGTGGGTGAGGGGCTGAAGGGCCTATGGCGCACAGAGTCGGGGAAAGGATTCAAAGATAAGAACGGGCCGTGTGAGGGTGGAATCTTTTACCCCCAGCCTTAGTTGGTTTTCCAACTTATTTGCGTCTGTAGGCAACACGGTAAAAGTACTGCTTCGTTGGGCGACGTGGTGCAGGAGGGCGTTCGTTACAGTGATGCCGAAACGTGGGAAAAAGGGAGCGGTGGCAGAAGATGGGGAAGAGCCTAAGACTGGTAAGAGAATGAAATGAGCCCCTCTCCCTAGAGGCTGCTTCTAATTTCCTGGGTAAACAGGAAGTACGGACAGACGCACTCCATTTTTGCAGTTGGTGAAGAAGTCGCGGGAACTGCAGGCTCTCAGTGGGTCTATAGTTAACTCCGCTATAGGTAGTTAACTCTGGATTCAAGTTCGATGCCGCCAACTTGCATCACTATGTATTACTTATTTTATAGAGCCAGAGGCCAAGAAGAACAAGGCGGGAGCAGGAGCAAAGAAAAACGAAAAGGAGGCAGGAGAGGGGCCAGTCCTGTATGAGGACCCCCCAGATAAAAAGACCTCACCCAGTGGCAAATCAGCCACACTCAAGATCTGCTCCTGGAATGTGGATGGGCTTAGAGCCTGGATTAAGAAGAAAGGTTTAGATGTAAGTGGAATTCAAGGAGGGGGGAAGAGACATTCTTTAGTATTGATCTTGGGGTTTTATCACCTTTTAGTCACCAGCATGTAGGTTTTGTTCCTTGTATGTAGTTTTCTTGTGGGGGAGGTACAAGGAGGGGCTTCAAGTAATACCAACTGTTTCCTGCATATCCATTCCTGCAGTTCCATTGGCATAGTCTCAAACGCTTAATGTCCTCATCTCTTCCCCAGCATGTTGAAAAATCCTTGTTACTGAACTTGCTCTATTTTATCTCCAGCATGTCCTCTATTTAAAGTGTTTACACAATGCAACATACAGATGTTATAGAATTCTACCCTTGAAACAATCTTATTAACTAATGTCACCCTAATTTAATAAAATTTTTAAAAATTAAAAGTAACTAGTGCTTGGAAATCTTAGCTATCCGCTGCCTATAGGAAAAACAGTCTCCTTAGTGTTGCGCGTGTCAAGTCTTACCTCCTTCCATTAGTGACCAGTTACAGAATTGTTCAAATATTGTGCTGCTAGACACAATATTTAAACTTATGCACAGGGACTATGTCTCATCAGTATATCTCTAGTACTTAGAACAGATTCTTCAAAAAATGTCTGCTGAATTGATAACTACTTTTTATACTTCTCATTTCACTCACAGTGGGTAAAGGAAGAAACCCCAGATATCCTGTGCCTGCAAGAGACCAAATGTTCAGAGAAGAAACTACCAGCTGAACTTCAAGAGCTACCTGGACTATGCCATCAGTACTGGTCAGCTCCTTCAGACAAGGAAGGGTACAGTGGTGTGGGCCTACTCTCCCGCCAGCGCCCAGTCAAAGTCTCCTATGGCATTGGTGAGACCCCACTGATTTCCTGATGCCCGAGCTCTTCCAAACTAATACCCCACTCCAGCTCCAATTCTTGATTCCTTTATTCTCTCCTTTTCCTTTTCTTATACTACATGTTGATACTGTTTCATCATTTCTGTAGGCGAGGAGGAACATGACCAGGAAGGCCGAGTGATTGTGGCTGAATTTGACACATTTGTGCTGGTAACAGCCTATGTACCTAATGCAGGCCGAGGTCTGGTGCGCCTGGAGTACCGGCAGCGCTGGGATGAAGCTTTTCGCAAGTTCCTGAAGGGCTTAGCTTCCCGCAAGCCTCTTGTGCTTTGTGGGGACCTCAATGTGGCTCATGAAGAAATTGACCTTCGAAACCCCAAGGGAAACAAAAAGAATGCTGGCTTCACTCCACAAGAGCGTCAAGGCTTTGGGGAATTGCTGCAAGCTGTGCCACTGACTGACAGTTTCCGGCACCTCTACCCCACCACGGCCTATGCCTACACCTTTTGGACCTATATGATGAATGCTCGATCCAAAAACGTTGGTTGGCGCCTTGATTACTTTTTGGTGTCTCACTCTTTGTTACCTGCATTGTGTGACAGCAAGATCCGTTCCAAGGCCCTGGGCAGTGACCACTGTCCCATCACCCTGTACCTAGCACTGTGATACCTCCCCCAAATCACTTGAGCCTGGGAAATAAGCTCCCCAAACTAGCTTTAACCCCCTCCCCCAACTTTAAAAACTGCTCTCTAGAGAATTCTGCGCTGTATTTCCCGTCTAAAAATGTGAATCCTTCAGCCAGGCTCCTAGTGACAGATGGGTTTCCTTTAAGCCCAAGGTTTTGGTTTGTGTATGTGTGGGTTTTTTCTTTTTTTACATTAAACAAAAGCTACTGATGACTTCCTTTGAACTGTCCGCGTGAAAATAAACAGCCATAATTTCAAACTTGCTGTCTTTGTATTCTACCCCTTTGTGAGACTATAAATTTCCCTCCTTTCATACATACAGATTAACAACTGGAAAAGGGTAGAGTCACCACCGTATTTATTTACAAGCACAGGATGAGTCCCTAACCTCCCCCCAAGACAGCAACCCTACCCAGCCCAGTTAAATACTACAACTGGAGTGTAAGGTTGGAAGGAGGAATTACGGGGAACACAGGACTAGGGGAACATACCCCATATTAAATAATTATATACATATCAGTTCCTGTGGTTCTGTACAGAGCAGCGGCTGACCCCACCCCCACAAGACATGGAATGGGGGAGAGGAGACTGAGGGTACTGAGGCCAGAGCCAGCCCCTGGTGAAGTGCAATAGCAGCAGCAAGGTCCTAACGGTACACAAGAGGGAGGGAAACCCCCAGGGCTACCCACCCCCACCCTGCCCTGGAATGTGTAAGGGACAGGAATGGCTCTCAGGGAGCTTATAGGAAGGACAAGGCTAGAACCGTCTTTTAGGACCCAGGTTTAGGGGCAACATCTCGCCTACTTCACCCTAAACACAGCAACCGTTGGAGGAAAGCAGATGGCCAGCAGTGGTCTGTCTTATCTACCCCTCCAAGCCTAGGTGAGGGCCTGGTTCTTGCCTACCTCTCCCCAGGGAAAAGGAAGGCAGCTGCTTGGCTCCCCTTCTAGAAGCCCAGGAAGCCTTTTATCATGGCTCCCTTTGTAGTGTCACTGTCCCCACCAGGGAGGGGTCAGGCACAGTCTGTGGGTCATCGTGGGGCTCAGGAGAAGTTCTGAACAGGGTGGCTGACCTTCATACAGGCCCAATAGAGGGCCCGCCCCAAACACAGCACAGCCAACAGGATGACAAATGCCCAGGCTGCATAGATGCCTCCATATCGCCGTGCATGCTTCCATGTCCCAAACTGATGAAAAAGAAAGATGAGGTTACTGTTGATCTCACCCCTTTCTTGGAGCCCTAGTAACAGTAACACAGAACTCAAGTTCTGGTCCCTGTTCCCTATCCATGTGTAGCCACCTTCAGGGACCTGCTTAAAGGCCCAGTTTAGCTCCCTTCCCCTAGGCAGGAACATACTCTCATACAATCCCAAACATCTGTTTTTCTTAATGTCTTACAATACCACGTTTCCTAATAGCAACTCCTAATTTAAGCCACTATTCCATTATCTTATTCTCTGCATAAAGAAGATGGCTGTTCTTTACTCCTATAGTAACAACGAAAACTTTTATCAGTTACCTTCGACTTCTGCTCATCTATACATTAAAACACAAAATAAAACCCCTTTAATTTCTTTCCCTTTTTTTAGGGTAGCCATTCACAAGCCTTAGCCTACAGAGATGAATGAGGCTGGAGAATGAAGGGTTGGATCATGGTTACTCACAGCAAGGCCAGTGGCAGTGACTGCCAAGAGTAAGCCAAGCAAGAAGCAGCAGATACATCTCTTTCGTGGATATCTGCGCCCAATAGATGACCTGTATGGAGGCAAACAGAAATGGATGCTTGCAATGGCCCTGTAATTTTTACTCTACACATTACCTGATTACCAGTTCAATGATGCCATTCTCTAATCACTTACACTTTCCTGCAGTGAGGGCAACGGGCCAAAGTTCGGTCTGTGAACTCTGTCCACTATGGAGAAAGAAAGAGAAACCAACTATAGTAAAACCTTAGATTGCGAGTAACTTGTTTTGCGAGTGAGCAAACATTTCTGGTGAACGAGCAATGTCTTGCAATATGAGTAGTTTCCAGAACGAATTATGCTTGCAAACCAAGGTATTACTGTAATAACACAAGCAGGGTCATCTTCAATGAGAGTCCTGGGGCAGGAGAGGCTGGGAAATGGGTCCTCATAGAATAGACCTGTTCAGGATTCAT